CATAAACTTTCACGTATACATATTTACAATATATTCAAGGAAAATCTTCAAAAAATTTCAAACTGTTGGGAAAAGTTACATTTTAGTCCCTAATTTTTTTTTTTTGAACAAAATAACCTAGCATACTGGGTAAATTGAACATCTTGGTCATCTTCATCCGGTCAACCTTATTTTGCCCGTTGCAATTGATGATTTGGCATTAAATGACTTATGTGGACTAAGGACATCCACAATGGTGAGTTCAATAGGATAGTTGAATGATGTGACAAGTCTATTTGTCATTAAATTTATTAAACTCTATCATAGTGAGATGTCACATTGACATTTAATGGATTTGGAGTTTAATGGTCATTGAACTCTTCAATGGAAACAAGGAAAGTTTTTAATTCTTAAATATATACTATAAATTAGTTTTTGTAATTTCTATTGAACTTTGTAAAGTTCAGTGCATTGTAACACCAAAATTAATAGAGTTGTATGGAATGTAAAAAAATGATTTGGCAATCCATTGAACTCTATAGAGTTCAATGCATTGTGGATGCCCTAGGCTAAAGTAAACACCTCAGTAACTGAAGAAACCTCAATATTTCTTCTCCCCCTTCTCTCGTTTCACCCACCTCAATAAATTAGGGTTTTACCTATCTTTAAGGAGGAAAATGGATGACGTCTATGATTTGGATACTATAGATGTGAAGCTTGATGATTATTTTAAAAGGAAACCAATTTCCCGATGTAGAGATGAATTTTTGAACATTCTCTGTGAAAAAGACGATGGCGATGATGTAGTTGATGATGCTCAAGCTTAAAATAATGCTCAACCTCAAAACCATAACCAATAATCAGACTCAGAGTATCTGCAAGGTAGTGATGAAGAAGACACTGATGATTTCGAGTATCCCACCCACAACCCAAAGCTGAAATGGAACTTAATGAAACAAGTGTTTGGTGAAAGGTATGAATCCCCACATGAGCTCAAATTGTGTTTAACTAACTATGATATTAGTAAGGGTTATTAAGTTCGTTTCAAAAAGTGTGATAGTGTTAGACTTGTGGCAATATGTTGAAGTGCTCCAGAGAATAGGCCATTTATGGTTAGGGCTTCTTGTAAAGGAGCTGATTTGGCGACCTAACTTAAAATGCAAGGAGATGCAGGTTAAAATACAAAGTAAATTTCATTGCCAAATCATATGGTCAAAATGCTATAGATCAAGGATGAGGGCATTGTCATTAATTCATGGGAAATTAAGTTACCATTATGCAAGAGTTTGGGATTATGGGCATGAGTTGATGAGATCCAATCCAGACTGTACAATTAGGATTTATGTTACTGTAAACCCTAATAAAACCCCAAAATTTCATAAAATATACATTTGCTTTAAAGCTATCAAAGAGGGCGGGAAAACAGGATGTCGTAGGGTTGGATGATTGTTTTCTGAAGGGACAATGCAAGGGTGAGCTGTTAACTGCAATAGGTATTGATGCAAATAATCAGGTGCATCCTATAGCATGGGTAGTTGTTGAAGTAGAGAACAACTGGAAATGGTTCCTAGAATTGGTTAATTGATGACATTAGATTGCAGGGTAGTAGTGGTATTTGTGTAATCAGTGATCAACACAAGGTAAAGTAACTATCTTTTTCTTTTTGATTAATTCCTAATTAACTATAATATTTTGTGTACTTGCTAATTAAATTTTTTTTAATGTGTTAGATTCTTTTTGAAGCTTGTAAAGGTATTCTACCTTATGTTGAGCATAGGCAATACGCCAGGCATATATATGCTAATTTCAAAAAAGTTTATAGCAGAGTGGAGTACAAAAACTTGTTTTGGGCAGCAGAAAAATCTACAACAAAATGGGATTTCAAATTCAATATGGAAAGGATCAAGGCAATGAGTTATGTTGCATATGATCATCTCCTACCTAGGGAACCATCTTCATGGTGCATGGCTTATTTCTCTACTAGCTTGGCTTGTGAAGCTGTAGAGAATAGGATTATTGAGTGCTTTAATGAAATCATCATAGATGCAAGAAAGAATCCTCTACTCACTATGCTGGAAGAGATTAGGCTTTACATGAAGGAAAGGTTGTAGAATATGAAACTAGAGGATGAAAAATGGAGTGGTGAAGTTTGTCCTTCAACAATCAAGAAGGTGGATGAATTTAGTGAAGATATTAAGTAAGTATCTTATGTGCTGTGATTCTACTCATAAATTGGTTTGATGTGCACAAAAGTACCTACTAATTTTAAATTTATTTCCTAACTAACTTAACTAACTAATATGCACCTAGGTAGTGTACCTAGTCGAATTGTAGTGTAGTTTAAGTAAGTCGGGGTCGAACACAGGGAACAGTTTTAATTAGCTAAAATAATTACTCTAAATTAATCTAAAATCAAACAATAATTAAAAAGGTATTTATCTAATTTTGCAAGTTTAGATGAACTTAATTTATCAACAACTATTCAATATTATAAAAACTCTTCTGTTAGTTCGAATCCACTTTCCCTCAATGATTTAATTATTAATTATGACAATTCTCGTTGGTTACCAATTAAGATATTATTAGCAATTCAATTCCAAATTAACTAATGTTGAATTAGTTCATGTAGATCTATGCATAGTCACACATAATTTAACACATAATTAACTATTAAGTAGAATTGGAGCTATGTAAGATTGAGTTAACAAACACAATTATGTTCATAATATGAGTTCTCCAGCACATCCAAGTTCAATACTTCAATTACTTATCTAAGATTGGTTTAATCTTAGCTCTAATAATCTAATGTTCACTAAATTACTAGGTATTCAAATTCATGCAGATTAATGGTCACTAACTACACAGAATAAGAGTTTAAAGCAATCTAGTATCAAATTAAGCATGCTAGGTAAAATCAATCAAACACAAGACATTAACCATCAAGAAAAGTCTAAGTTTTTATAAACAAACCATGAGTTCCAGCTTCATCTAGCTAACAGAAGCAGCTAGATTTAGATACTCATTCTAACAAGTAAACATAAACAAACCATAATAAAAAACATTGTAAAGTACCACGACTTAGAAAGTATTTATAAACTTCTTCTTCTTCCTTGGTTTTTAAACCAACTTCCTGGCCTTCTAACCTTCTGAATATCGATTTCTGGAAACCTTTTTTCACCAGCCAACCTCCTAAATTCGTAGAGATCAAGGGAATTTATTGTTGTCATGAAATTACATTCCACGTCGTGGAATAAGGCTCCACGTCGTGAACATGGAAGAATCCTTATCGGGCAAGGATTTCGACTTTGTGCGTACTCATCTTCTAGAATTTTCCTTTTCCACGTCGTGGTGTAAGCTCCACGACGTGGATACAGCTATTTTCGTGTGTTTTATCTTCTTTAATCTTCCACGCCTCCAAAGTTTCTTCTTTTTCCACTTTTAGTCCTTATTTTTCAAAATGACTTATTTTCGCTGCAAAATTCAATTTAATCTCATAAGTACCATTATTCCATGCAAATAACCAAAAATATGTATAAAAATGTATTCAAATATTGCCTAAAAGTATGTATAAATATGGCAATATCATGGTTGCTTATATACTATGTTATATACTTGCATGAGTTGGTTTATAGTTCCAAGTGGCTTGAATGCATATGAAGTAAGGAGTGGGTTTCAAAGCTATGAGTTGACTTGAAGGACCACTCGTGTACTACCATATTATGGGAGCTTTCAGGTTTACCTTGTGTGTATGCAAAAGCAGATATTTTGCATACCAATCAAGATCCAGTCAACTTCATAAGCAATTGGTTCAGCAAGAGTAACTACAAGGCTACTTACTAAGAGAATATACTCTCATTTAATGGATGTAATTTGTGGGAAGAAACAAGTTACACCAAGCCCCTTCCACCCACTGAAAGGAGGATGATAGGAAGGCCTAGTATAAAGAGAAAGAGATATGTATCTGAAAATGAAGGCAAGTACTCTCAAGTCTCAAGCAAGGATAGAACAGTCTGATGTAAAAATTGTTTATAAAGGGGACACAATAAAAAATCTTATAAGAATTCTAAAGTGGTGCATGAACCTCAACCTAAAAAGAAAATAGGGAGGCCTAGGTTGGAACATGATTTGTTGAATTGGTCAGGTTCTAGAAGAGGATCTAGAGGTGGTGGCAGGGGTGGTATAGTTGGTGATGACAGGGGTGGTAGAGTTGTTGGTTGTAGGGGAGATGGAGTCCCTGATAAAGTCCCTCATGTAAATATGGACAAATATGGAGAGTGAAATACCTCATGCTAGAGAATGAAAATCTGATGCTAATGTAAAGAATGCAAACTCTCATGAAAGGTTATATTTGTGTGTGAAACAATGTGAGACAAATAGAAAGAATTTTTTTTAACCCCCTTCATGTCAAAACTTTTTAATGGGTTTAATGTATATAATCTGGATTTTTAACGAATATATAAAAGTTCATTTATTTGAACATATATATAACTACAAGTTCAACTTAATTACTTTTAACAATATTCAAACGTTCGTTGTAAAAAAAAAATGATACGTATGATGATGATTCGAAAGAAGTTTACATGTATCACAACACATTGGATTATGAAACACGACATACTATGAACATGCAAAATCATTTTTTAAGTGTTTAACTATTTTTTACAATAATTTTTAGGTTTCAATACTTCTAAAAGTTGAAACTAAATAATATAATTCTTGAAACTTTGAGATAAAAACATGTTGTATAATAAAATGACCACTAATGACTATTATATACATATATTAATTCCCATCACAGTTAGGAATAGTATACTTCTTCGACTTCATACTTTGGCCACACTATTTTACGGGTATTACATATGAAATACACACATCTATTCCTTCTTCCGATCAAAATTCCCTAAAACCACCCGATCGCCTCCCCGCTTCTTCTCATATGCCTTCCTGTCAATCGGTTAACAAGTCGACTCGGATTCTTTTTTGGTCATTTAATCATCGAATTTCTGTTACATTTAAGAGAGATGGGATTAATCGTTGCAGCCTACGATTTCTGTATGGAGAAGAAAAGGGGCGGCGACCAAACTCCGACTCAGGCATTGATGGGGCTTCAAAGTAAGAAATCACGTTTGAATGTATCCGCCTTCAACACAAAACATCAACTGGACAACGCAGGAGTGAGAGAGATGAGTAGAGAATGATAGAGAGATGTTTTGTGGAGGTTTGCTTAGCCATGGTTATGGACGATGATTGTGAAGGTGAAGGAAACAACGGGGATTGTCGGTGTTGTTGTCTTTGGGGCCTGCAAGGGAGTGTTTTCGTCGGCGCCTTCACAGGTCGGACACTATTGTATTATATGCATCCATCAATAAATTCAGAAAACACATACAATTGGATATTGATATGCGTTTTACTCTTCAAATTCAGGCGTTAGGGTGGTTGGCGGCGGTTTTTGGAGTGTCAAACACAATTCTTGAAGTTATTGTTCCTTATTCTCATATGCCAATCATCCAATTGCTTGGCAAGGTGTGTGGCCCTTTTCAATGAAACTAAGATGTAGTCGAAAATTATAAAATTAAGATTGTATATATGTCCAAGTTTTACAATATGTGATTCCTTTTGTGGGTACGCGATATTAGCTTCAATCTTCATAAATATTGCAAATGGCTTGCAGGAACCTGAAACATCGATTTGAACCCATTTCACCGTTTTATTCTAATTATAAAAGATGCTACAAATAAATTGTGTTTTCAATGGGATAATCGTCGAATTACACGCATAATCTGATACAAATCAAGCAGGTGCATGTTAGGTGTTTGGTGAAATGTCTAACTGAAGTTATCCTTCATGTTTTACCCTTATTCATGACAATAGGTATGCTTTTGTATGAAATTCCATTTCTTTGATCATAACTCTAATTTATTTCTTGTTTTACAACTGTTTTAATTTTTTGCTGGCAAAAGATGTTGATTTTGATGGCGACAAGATGAATATGCATATTCCACAAACAAAAGAGGCTCGAACTGAGGCTCTTATGCTTATAGGGTAATCATGTCAATTAACCACTTCAAATGCACTTTCAATCGATTACATTAGTAATAAATTACGATATCACATATCATTTGTTTTCCAATCACGTAGGCTCAAAACAATCTATGCACACCAAAGAATGGGGAGATTTTTGGTTGCATCCACGCAAGATTTTTTGACATCTTCCTTTCTTACAACAATTAAGGACATTTTATATGATCCTGCCTCATTTGCACTTCTGAAATATGATAGGTGATATTTTATAGAATCTGGGCTTCATTTTTGGAGACTTTTTTGAAAGACAATAAAATTCTGATGCACTGCTGGTCTTTTTCCCAAAGGAAGCACAAGGGTGTGATTGTCTACATATGTAATAACCATGGACTTCGAGATGTATATGAAAGTGACAGAAATATTGCAATAACAGCTTCAGAGCCTCTAGCTGTCTTGGTAATGGCAACAATTTTAATAATCAACAAGGGCAAATTTGTAAACAGTCAAAAGGAAAATGAGCTCTTTATGATATCTTTTTTGTGTGTTTTAGGTGAACAAAATAATTACAAATGTGAGATATTGGCAGGTGCATTCAAGGATAACAATCATGCAATGCGTTTCTTCTACTCCCCCATATGCATACGTGGCCAGATGCATGAAGTTTTAATGTAGCAGAGTCTGTTTTTAGTGAATGTTTTATAGTTATAGTACGATTATGGCATCCGCTTATGATACTGGAATTCAAACCACCTTGGGTATCCCTTCCAACTAAGCATATATATAT